TTTTTTTTTGTATGAATCTGAATCATAATTCATTCAGCCTATTATTATATTATTAAATTATTTGAGACCGCATGCTAAGATTTGCATATAACAAATTTCTAAAATCATGATTTGTATATATCATCTTTTCACCAATTATACTTTTTTTTTTTCATTATCGATTTGAAATGGAAAACGAATTTTATATACCTTATCGATTTTGATAATACAATGTTATAATCATTATCATTATTTATTTTAAAAGATAGTGTTTGTCATTTATTTGATTTCAAAAGATGAAAAAATTTCATAGATTAGGTCTCTTTTTATTTATGCATTTACACAAATTAATTTAAAAACTCTAATAACGACTGGCAACAAAATTTGTTATATATTGATTCAAACCAACTAATTAATAAAATAGTCCATCAATCACGAAATTAAAAAATAACACACAATCACTACATTTCAAAGATTAAGTTTCCTAGATAAACATTCATTTATATTGTCATTACGACAAACAAGAGTGAGTGTCAATCTTAGAAATTTGATGATTTCAACTTTTTTACCGTAGGAATTTCTGTTGAAAAATCCATCGTTGGAATCGTCAAAACCAAACGGAAATTCCAATCGAAAATTCATTCCAACGGAATACTTTTGTTGAAATTTTCGTTGGAATCCATTGAAAATTTCCAACGGAAATAATAGTATTGAATATCAGTTGAAATAATTTCTTTTGGAATAGATTTCTATTGGAATTTTATCATTTTATTGTAGTGTGCCCAATAATCAAATTAATAATGTTGTTTACAATTAGGTTTTTAATAACACATGATTTTTTCATACTCGAACATTTTATGAGCATTTTCCGCTCAAAACATTAATTACCTACTATAGATTGAAATAATATAAAATGATCTAAATAAAAAATAAATCATTAATTGAATAATTTTCATATAACTCGATTTTCGGTTTGTGTTTGTTTTAGTAAATTCTTGGTTTTCTTTAATTACGTTGATAGTGGTTTTGTAGGCAAAGATTATGAAAAATAATTATATGTAACTGATTTTGGAACTCTTATTTATCAAGGATTCTTTTTTATTGTAACAGATTTATTAGGATCATTGATTTGGATTAGCATATATGTTACATACACACAAAAAAAGATTATAGTAATATTTAAATTTACATGGCGTCAATTTTGGAATTCTCATTTGTGAAAATTCTTTTTATTTTATCATATTTATTAAAACCAACAATTACAAAGATTAATCTAAATATATTTATATTAATATTTAAATATATTTTTCATTGTAGCAGATTTTGAGAATGAACGATTTTATATGAGATATATACAAAACTTTTTTTTTTTGAGATATATACCAATTCCCTTTATTGGTATTCTTTTTGTCAATTGTTTTTTAAAGGAAAATTTTTAAAATTTTGTATAGTAAATCGATTTTTTTTATACATAAAATATAAATTTATTGCAATATATATATATATATATATATATATTTACTACCTAAAGAGTTGTCACACATATAATAGGAAAGTTGTCCAATTAAAAATTGTTCGGCTTAAAAAAAATTAGCCTGAAGTAATGTCTAATCACTAATGTTTTATAATTTATATCTACTTTATATAATCTCTCTCATAAAATTAGTGTGATGTAATATTTAATGTTTTGTATTATTCATACATATTTTTGTAGGTATACACCAATTCATTTGCCCAACTATTGTATAAATTATCATATTATAAATAGATCCATCTTAGACTTCCGTTTAAGTTCCAACGGCACCAGTTCCTTCTGATTTTGGGGTTCCATTGGTCAGTCTTTTTGTATAAAAAATATAGATATATTAGTGAATATTATACAGCTAATCAAGTATAATCGATATTAAACTAACTGCTCATTGTCTGACTGTTTAAGTAAATTATCATATTATAAACAGACCCATCTTATGATTTCATTTAAGTTCTAGAGCACCAGTTACTTCTAATATTAGGTTTTCATTTAAGATCAGGATCAGTCTTTATGTGGGTTGGCATATTATTAAAGAAATCAGTTCTTAGCAACGACCGATTCTATGTTGTTATTTTTATGTGTAAGTAATAGATAAAAGATGTGCATTGACATGTTCTTAAAAAAATCTTTTTGATCACAACCAATTGTATGTTACTCGTGTAAGTAATAAGTCAAAAAGAGTCAAGGTCAATATTTATTGTACGTTGACATGTTATGTAATAGATCAAGAAGAGTCAAGTTCAACATTCATTGTACGTTGGCATGTTCTTAAAGAAATCGATTTTTAGTCACGGACAATTATGTTGTTTGTTTCGCGTGTAAATAATAGAAAAGTGTTGAAAATATTAGTTTGTGGGACGATGAGTTGCTTTATTGAACAAATAATGTTGTGTACAAGAAAGTTTAAATAATATATTTTTTTGCATGAGGAACATATTTTATAGTTTGATAATTTTCCTACGAATTATGATTCTTTTATTTATTAATACATTTTTATTTTTTAATATTCTCCAAAGTAAATACAACCCGTGCATCGCACGGGTTACATACTAGTTTATATATTATCATTATCGAAAAATTATGTTTCAACTTTCAATTTTTTGACACAATTCATTATATAATATATTTGTTTTGTTTGATTAATGAAAAAAATAATCTAAAAAAAATCAAAGAACATATCATCATATTATTATACAAAAAAAATAAAATTAAAATCATGGAAACTGTAGATCATGCATAATGTCACATGTACTTTATTAGTCCCTAAAAATATTAAAAACAATAAAAAATAAAAATAATGTAGCATCATATTAATCACTTCCAACTCGTGGCTATGGCATATTGGCATCAACACAGCAAAGAAAAAGGGACGATAGCCATTTGCAAACGTAGCTCAAAAGCGCCAAATATATTCGAATCCGGATTTGGAAAGTACCAGCTTTCACCGGTGGCGTGATACACCCAGATTTTGCCGTTTTCTGATTCATCTCGTCCTCAAATTCGCCGCCGGCTTTTCCGACGCAGGATTCCCTTTTTCCTCCTCTGTCGACGGCGCCGATGGACGGAGAAATCCCCATATCAACGATCGACGATGAATTGAGCTGTCCGCGGCTGAATCCAAAGTCCACCGCAGATCTACTCCATTCCGTTGATGCATTTCTCTTCGATTGCGACGGTCTGCTTGCGTTAAAGATCTCTTTTAGAACGATTTGTAGACATTTCATCATCTCTGTGTTTATTCCTGGTATTTTCTCCTTATTGTTTCAAAATTTTCAGGCGTGTTATGGAAAGGAGATGTTCTGATCGATGGAGTCTCGGAAACTCTGGATGCGCTTCGTGCCATGGTAATTGCGTGTTTTGAGGAACAAAAATGTTCTTAGCTGCTTTGTGTATGAATTTTGTGTGTTTACTATAATCTTTGTAGGACAAAAAGCTGGTTTTTGTGACGAATAACTCCACAAAGTCCAGAAGGCAATATGCCGAGAAGTTCCACTCATTGGGCATTTCAGTGACTGAGGTTTTTATATACCAATTAATATTTCACAGTGATTCCATGTGTAATGTGCTAGCTATTGATCTCTTTTCTTGCTGGTTTTAGGATGAGATATTCTCCTCATCTTTTGCTGCTGCCATGTACTTGAAAGTCAATCACTATCCCAAGGAGAAGAAGGTTTGTCCTTCTATCACTTTTTCTTAGTTCAGTTATCTTTTACTTCACCCGAAAAGGTAACTCTTAGCGTGTTCTGTTAGTGGTTGGTTTAAATTATACCAGTGTGATCTTGCACGCCCCATTTGGTTGGGGCTATCATCATCCGCCGTCAACGGTGTTAAAGTTGTGCAATAATGAGATCGGTGTCTTAGGTAATTTCTTTAGTAGCCAACACCATGAAGGGAGGTGATAATAACCCTGTTAAAAGGGGGTGTGAAAAATCACACTCAAACTATACTGATTAGTTTCTAGACCAAGCACACTCATGCTTATGCATCTCATATCATGATTATGAATGGTGCTCCTCCTGAATTTTAGATCAGCTATGTTCATATTGTACCCAAAAAACATTTGGAATCATGTAGAATTTAACTTGAAATAACTGAAAGAAATAGATGCAAGGTACAATTATGTGCAAGATACTTTTCCTTTGACACATCAATTGAATATTATGCCAAATTGTTAGATTTTAAATATGTTTTGTCTTTTAGTTGCTAAAGGCTCACTTTGGTTATACAATGATCAAATTTGACATCTACTCATCTTCATGCATTGTTTTCACAGGTATATGTTATTGGTGAAGAAGGCATATTGGAGGAACTAGAGCTTGCTGGTTTTACTGGTCTGGGTGGTCCTGTACGATAACTATAATTTGTCTCGATCTTTTACTTTGGAATCAGTCTATTTGTTCACATCTTATCCTCTTCTTTGTTGATGGTATTTTCTTAGTTAACCGCGTGTTCTAGTTATATAGAAAATCATACTGTTGATAATTTGATATTGCGGTCTTATTTGGAATTGTTTATTTGGCTGAGATACTAAGTTCTTCTTATAACGTAAACCTTTTCAAGCTTTTGGGCAGTGCTAAGTAGTAAGTCAACTTAGAAGCTTTTAGATGCACTAAAACTAGCAAATATTCTGTTTGTTTTTAACTGTTATTGGCTATGTTGTAAGTTCTCATATAATTAAAAAAAAAAAAGTTATATACTTTTGCTTCAGATCGGATTTGGACATACTTGTATATTAATAAAATTCGTTCATATTCTTTAATTCTTAATCATGAATCATTAGTCTCTCTTTTATATAGTTTGACTTGTCTTTTATCCTTCTAACCCGCTCTAGATTTTCCATTTGGCGAATCAGGTAGTTCTTGTGTCATGGTTATGTTAAGGTAGTTTAATGAGTAATTTTCTCTTGCAGAAAGATGGGAAGAGAACTGTCCATTTGAAACCAAACAACCTCTTTGAGCATGACAAAAATGTAAAACTGAGTTCTTGCTCCACCACTTTGTTGCAGCTTTTTGTTTTTCTTTTCACACTTGTGTATATTTCCTTCTACACTAGGTGGGAGCTGTGGTGGTTGGTCTGGACCAGTATATAAATTTTTACAAGCTACAGTAAGTCCATGTGCTTTGCGTTTCATGACTGCTTATATTTTTTGGTCTCTATAATTGTTCACTCCTAAAAACAAAACTACGTACACAATTCAAACATTGTTACTAGCACATAAAGAAATTAATTGGATTTGTCCTTAGCTTTACCCAATCAATCTTGTACTCATATGCATCTGACCTAAAATAGACGATTCATGTCAATCGCCTGAGATGAAGTAATATTTTAACTAATTTAGTTTACTTGATTTTTTTCAAAAGAAATTGCACCTTCCATATCCTGTGTTGGAGTTCTTATGAATGAGTACAATTTGCATAATTTGTAAGGTATGCAACTCTATGTATACGTGAAAATCCGGGATGCTTATTTATTGCTACAAACCGGGACGCTGTTGGACATCTCACAGATCTACAAGAATGGCCTGGTAATTAGTCTAAGTTTTGCCTTTCAACACCATGTTAATTATGTTAAGCTGAAGCGTTATTATATTCTCT